GTCTCCACATCTGTCTGTCTTCGTTGATGATGTTGTTGATGAAAATGATGTTGATAATTTATTATTGAAAGAGAAAGCTAAACAGAGAGAAAGGGAGCTACGGGGATTTTCCGGGGTCGGGGAAACCTGATCCCCGTTGGGGGCGGGGGTGGGGGGGTGATGGGTTCCCCGTCGGGGATCGGGGACGGGGACGGGGACGAGGAGTTTTGTAGCTTCGGGGATCGGGGACGGGGAGTGCGATCCCCGGCCCCGCCCCGTTGCCATTCCTACCGTTGTTCGTGGGGTTGGAGAAGTATCTTGTGGGGGAAGGAGCTTCTAAAAAAGGGGCTGTTTTGGGTTGTTGGAAATGGTACTAGAATTGAACAATGGTCCATCGTATTCTTAATGTTCACATACCGCTAGACAATCAACCAGACACTATTGTGTGGTGAACAAATAAGAATGTAATTTATTTGGTTAAGTTGGGTTATTATATGGCTCTAGAAGACCACACTAAGAAAAATTAAATCACTTTCCAATGAGTGGTGCTATTAGCACCCCATAAATTATTTTGGATTCTCTATTTCTTTAGACCCCTATTTATAAATTTTAAAATCTTTAAAATTTCTTTTTACCGCTCCTAATAATACTAAAATTATCCTCACACATTCCACCCATTGAACACTCCCACACCTCCCAAAAAAACCTCCATTTCAAATAAAACCCTAATTTTTGTGCCTCCTCTCATTCTAATTTCTCTTCCTTTTCAATCATCCCCTCTCCACTTCCTCCCTAATTTCCCATAGACCTCACTCCTCCATCAACTCAAATCCCATGAAAACCCACACATTTGAAGGGCGTTAGCAGTGCTGTTGACAAAAGGGTTAGGTAAGATATCCTCGCCTGCTGTGCACCCGAAACTTGTTCTCCAACGATCAAATGAAACACTTCATGTATGAGAGACAATGGCGGTGCTATGGATGAGAAGTCTTGGTGACTTAATAAGCTGCTCCTTTTTCTTGTTTCTTTGTAAATTTACGTTTGTTGTTTCTTAATAAGCTCTCTCTCATACATGAAGTGTTTCTTAATAAGCTCTCTTTCTCACTCTCTCTGTCATTGCTTCTTCACAATTGAAATTTTGACTTCTAGGAATGTCAAGAATTTTAACCATTCAAAGTGTAAACAAATTTTCGTATTCGGACCTGCATTCCCAAACAAATAAGCTATGTTTGAGAATGTTTGGGAATGTGTTACCGAACAAATAAGTAATGTTTGGGCCTGTATTCCCGAACTTGAAAAAATGAAAACTTCTAGAAGTGTCAAGAATTTTAACCATTCAAAGTGTTAACAAATTTCCATGTTCGGACATGCATTCCCGAACAAATAAGCTATGTTCGAGAATGTTTTCCCGAACAAATAAGTAATGTTCGAACCTGTATTCCCGAACTTGAAAAAATGAAAACTTTTCGGAGTGTCAAGAATTTTAACCATTGAAATTGTTAACAAATTTTTATGTTCGGATTTGGGAAAGATTGATGGGTGGTGATAGAGGTGGGTGCTCTCATAAATCTTAATTCATCATGTAGTGAGTGTGTAGGTTTAATTGCAAGTGGGGTGTCCCAAAACTAATAATGTTCTTTGTAGTAATTTTATTTGAGGTTCTTATTGTAATAATAAAAAAAAACTAAAAATTAGAGAGTCCAAAATAATTCATGGGATGCTAATAGCAGCACTACTTTCGAATATGGATGATGTCTGGAAAAGTTGTGGAATCTAACTTACCTGCCGAATGGAATTTCATTCATCGAATCCTTCCCGTTGGTCTTTCTCTTGCTAAAAGGGGTCTCCAAATTGATCCATTTTGTCCAAGATGCAAGGATGAAATTGAAACTCTGGAACATGTCTTTTTCTGTTGCCCTTTTGCAAAGCATATTTGGAGAGGATCCTAATTGGAGTTAGATTTTGAGGTGGGACGTAGTTTATTAACTGATGCCTGGTTTTTCCATTGGATCAAAACTGCTCCGAATAAGGAAGCCATTGTTGAATCTATTAAAATTCTTTGGGGTATTTGGCTTCATCGCAACAAAGCAACCTTTGATTTCATTGTGGAAGATCCAGCTCAAGCTGTATTTTCTATTAACCAGATGGAATGGGAATGTAATAAAAATGTGCTGAATATCCATTCATCATTGTTGGTTCCTACTGCTGAACTTACCTCGGAAAATTCTGTTGTCTTTTCTAATTGTGCACAATGCTGTCCAAATTCTAATTTTGACAGGTTTCTAATAGATGGAGCATGGAATCAATTGTCAAGGAAAGCAGGAGCAGCATGGGTTGCAATCAACACCGAAGGACAACAAACTCAGTCAATGAATTATTCATTTTATGCCTCGAAAAATCTAAAATTCCTGACATATTAATTTGCGATTATGTTTCAATTTTAAACAAAGAATAACAATCACAATCAAACAATCAAAGACAAATCAAACACACCAATTTAACATGAAAAAATCACAATTGAAGCACTTCCAATTGTAATAAGAAAATCACAGGTCAAAGTCACAAAACAATCCACTAAGAAAACAAAAAAGAATTACACGTGTACCTTTAATTACCTAGCGAATCTACGCCTGAATTGAACCAACCCCGATGTACCTCTTCCACTACCGTCTTTACCTCGAAATTGTCTTGCCTAACGTTGAATCTACAACACTGATGTCGAATCTACGACAATGAGCCACTCCGGAATCCACCAAAGTTTTAGGCTGCAATTCCTTGGAATCCACCGAAGAACAACTCTTTCTTTTGTGAATAAAAGAAAACAAACGACCCCTTGATAATGTTGATATAAAGTTCATGGATCTATTGATCACTTTTAAATCATCAAAAAAACACTCATAAAAGCATCCTCAAATATTAAACACTTTGTTTTTTCTTCCTCTCTGAAAATTTCGATGGCTCTAACCCTAAAACGAGCAAACAATGTAGTTTATAGTAAATTAGATAGCAAAGACCTCTCAAGCGCACACTTCACCGTTCGAGTGGTGTGAGTAAAGGCGGTGCATAATATATAGGCTAACTGCTCAAGTGTAACTTTCACCACTAAAGTGATAAAATTTGTTTCTCAGAAATTAAGACGCTCTGCAAAAATACTGGATAATCTTTTTCTCTGCTCGAGCACACAAATGACAGCTCTAGTGGTCAAACAATTTCGACTACATTTTTGCTTTTTACTTTGGGGGCGCTACCCCTCGACCTCGCCTGGGCACTGTCCCAGACTCCCGCGAGCTAACTGGGCAGCTCGATCCCCATACATAGTCAGTGAAGTGGCAAATAAAAACACAATTCGGATTCGATTCACATCTAAACACTCATATCCTTACTGAAATATAAAAACGAATAAAATTACAACTAAAAAGAATTTTGTCAAACGGAATTACTAATTACAAAAACCTAACATGCCTCATCCGCATTAGTAGTTGAGGCCAAAGCATGCTTAGAAGTTTTGCAATGGTGTTCGATGAACAACATTAAAACCGTATCAATCTACACAGACAGTCTTTTACTGGTTAACAAAATTAAAGCAAGAGACGTGCATAATTGGGAAGTGGGTTATGTTATTTTGGATATGGCAATGGTAGAGGGCTATAATTTTTGTGGCTCAAATGGCTCAAAACTGCCAAAACGACGTCGTTTTGAGCACAAAACATGTCAAAATGACGTCGTTTTGACAGTTTTGAGCCATTTGAGCCACACAAATTGTGGCTCTCAAACATTATTCTTTTGGATATATGTAATCTTTGTATGTGCATGGACTATCTCTGTATTACTAAGGTGCCTAGAAATTCTGTAATATATGCACATAAGATGGCTAAGATAGCTTCTCTACAAGCTATTTCTTAGTCACTTTTTTGGTTGTATGTTAAGATTGCTATTTCTATATATATAAGTATGCATCTCAGATTTCCTCAAAAAAAAAAAAAAAAAAAAAAAAAAAAAAAAAAAAAAAAAACACTCATAAACCTTACCTATATTCAATGGATCTACGTGGACTTGATAATACTATGTACTCATAATTTTATTCAAAAATGTTAATGCCTGATTTAGATTTATTTTAGGCTATACTTTTGACCTTATAATTTGACTCAAAATTTATTTTGATATCTATTATATTAATTTGAATAATTTAATCTATGCTTTAAGTTCACTGTTAATTTAATAATTCTGTCCATTTTTTTATTTAATTTTTTCCACGTGTACAACCCAAGAGGCTGACAAGTGCTCGAAAATCATTATAATTATATTTTTTCACATATATAACTCAGGAGATTGACAAGTATTCCAAAATCATTAAATTTAACATTTAATTTGAACAGAATGACCAAATTGAAACCAAATTATTCAAATTTGAAATAATAAGGAGCAAAGTATAATTTATATCAAATTACAAAAGTTAAAATTGTAATTTACTATGTATAAACTCCACAATACATTAATTGAATCTCAACTACTTTTTATTTTGAGTAAAATATTGAATAATATTTCTAGTCATAAACTTTACTGTAAAATTCATTTAGACCGTCTCATGAAATTCAAGCAGAAGTACAATAAATAAGCAAATTAATTAAAAACAAATAATCTGTAACCGAAGTGCAACCCCCACTAGTACTAAGGCTTATGATATAATACACACTACAAATCATATGCAAATTATGATTTGTAGTGTTGATACCACACAACGTCCATAACCAAATCACAAAGTGTTATATCTTAATGGATCATAGCCAAACACTTTTGGGACATAACCAAAGACTTTATTGGTCATAACCAAAATTACAACCACAATACATCCTAATTGGGTGATAACTAATACCACAATGTATCATAACCAAACACCACTTAAGGTATAACCAAAAATATCTTTGATCATAACAAAAATAATAATTACAAGAGGTCATAACTAAGTCAACTAATATCACAATGAGTTACAACTAAATCTTAACCAAAAAGCACAAAGCTCATAACTAGAGCAAGTAGTACACTTTTTTTAAGGTGTGCATTATAAAATTTCCTAATAAAAGATAGCATTAACAATTTAAGGTTTCCAATACAGTTTTACAGGGACAGGCTCCACAGCTTCAAATCACCAAGAATGCCTCTCCAAAAAAAGAAGAAAAGAAAAATGAAAAAAATGAACTCTTCCGTACGTTACAATAAACAAATACATGTAAAACATCGGCTCCCTTTCTCAACACTTGCCTCACCTGCTGTTACCTTCGAATCAATTGGCTCAACAAACATGTAACCAAGGACAAGACCAACACTGAAACAGCGCACGTCTGCTAAAATCCTTCATCATTGTCCAGTTCTTAGTCTCAGGTCTCTCAGTTTTGCACTTCATCTACTTAGAAAATGTGGGTTAGATATAAAACAAAGGACAACAATACAGAAAAATAAATCAAATGGACTAATAAACTAAAGAATCTAACCTAGAAGCAAAGGTAGCTGTAATCCATGCACTGTAGGTCCCATGATCCTTAACCCTGTAACAGTACATACTTTACAATGAACGCATTTTTCAAAATACAAACTGGAATCCATTTTGCTGATAAACTAAAATGAAGCAAATTTATTGCCATCACTATATCTGGATGAAATCAGCAGCAGCAGCATAGCAGGGAGCAATGTATGTCCAGTCTCACTTTCGTTTTCATTGTTCTCATTTTCAATTTCAGTTTCTCCATTTTTAAAAGCAACAAAAATGAAAATTGTGTACATAGCATCATCTTTGGAACCCAAAAGCACTTCCACCTAGAAATAGCTCAAATGCCAAGTTTACATAAGTTTGTCCATCTTCATTCAGCCTCTTTCCTCATTAAGGTTTAATTTAGAGCAATGGGTTGAACAATCTTTGGTGAAATATCACTTAAAGAATGATAAGAATACTCACACAACATCAAGCGCCTTCTTCAAATCATAAAAACAATCCAACTCCGCTACTTTTTTACTTCGCTCCTACTATTCATACTTGAGGGTTAAGAAAATATTATCAATAGCTCACAGTGCCCTTATCAAAGAATGAGAACCAGAATTCCCTTACCCACCCAAAAAAAAAAGAGCCAGAATTCTCAGCAAATTTACTTGCCACCAAACAACTGTCAAGACAGAATCATTGGGAAGATGAAAAGGCAGGAAACACCATTATTACTAAGGTAGTGTTTGGTTCACCAGAATGAGGAAGAATGAAATGATCATTCCTTCAAAATATGCATTCCTATGTTTGGTTAGCTTAAAAAAAAATAACGACAAATGCATTACAAATGAAATCATCTTTTATTATTTTAAGGGAATGGTCATTCTATAAGAAAACCTGAGGAATCAGTATTCCATTCTATTCGTTTTCATTCCAATGAACCAAATAAAGCAAAAGGACTCAAGTCCAAAATTGTGATGCTTTAGAGTGGTCTAGTAACAAGTAACCACCAATAAAGCATCAAAATAAGGTGGTGTTTGAAAATATATATATATATATAATTATAATTTTCTGTTTATATTTACAAAATTTTTGAAAATTGTATACGAAACTCATTTGGTTTCTGTTTTCATTTACAAAAAGTTGTAAACAGTTTATAAAATTTAGTAAATTGTGCAAACACAAAAAAGTTGTGTTTTTTTTTTTTTTTTTTTTCTCTCCTCTCCACCGTTTTTTTTCCAATACCCATTGCTTATCACTACCGGCTACAATTTTCGATGACCTCCTTCGCCAACCACCACCTTCCTCAGCCGGCAACCACCTATCACCGCTACCAACACCAGCGGTAACCATCTTCGGCCACCACCTCTTGTTGAAAGCCACCTTAGGTAAGCAATCAGCCACCATCTCCCATTATCGACAATCACTTTCAACTTCCACTTCATGTGGCCAATGGCCACCTTTAGCCAACATCTCCAACCATTGACAAGCACTCCTTTTCACTAGTTTTCAAAAAATAAAATAAATACTTGTGTACTAAACATGTTTTTTGTTTTCTTTTGTACCTAAAATAAATATAAACATGTTTAATGTTTTCTGTAAACTAAACACAACAAACTGTAAACATTGCCAAACGACACCTAAGTATTGAATACTGAATTTTTTAATTTGAAAAATAGTTTGGTATGTATTAAAGTTTAAGTGCTAAATTTAATCAATCTGTTTAATACATACAAGAAAGTGGAGTTTGAGATTTATTAAATTTTATTTTCTAATTCTATTTATGGTGTGGTGGTAGGTTGATAGAGTCGTGGTGGTGGTGGTGCTTGGATTGTGTTGGGTTGGTGGTGGTGGCGGTGGTGGCAACAATGGCAGCGGTGGTTGTGGGGTGATGGGATTATGGTGGCAGCTATGGCAATAGTAGTGGAAGGGTGGAGGTGATAGTGGTGGTAATAGAGTGGTGGTGGTGGCAATGGCAAAGTCAACAGTGGTGTTGTGGTGGCAATGGCAGTGGTTGTGTGGGGCAGTAAGGTGGAGGTGAAGATGATTGTGATTGTGGTTGTGGTTGTGGTTGGTGGTGGTGATAGTTGTGGCAGTGGCAGTGGTAGTGGATTGATGTTGGTAACAACAGTGGCGTGAGTGGTTGTGGTAGTAGGATAATGGTAGCGACAATGGTGATGGTGATGGCGGCAGCAGTGGTAGTGTAATGGTGTTGGTAATGGAGTGGCAATGGGGGCTGCGACGGTAGCAGTAGGCTGGGGATAAAGGTGTTGGTTATAATAGTGGCGGCAGTAGCAGTTCATGTTGCGGAGCAGTAGTGGTAGCAGTTGTGATGGTGGACATGGAGAGTTGGCGATAGTGCGGTGGTCATTGTAGAGTGATAGCAGCACACCTCACTGTCATAAATAATTACAAAAAACTACCATTCAACATTTTTATTTTGGTACATCGGAGGTTGTAGCCTACAGGAGGGAAAGGTCTTGCCTATAACAAAAATAGAACTCTTTACCTCCTAATTAACTGAGCTAAGCCGAAATCTGAAATTTGGCTGCCATCAAGACCGGGACTCATCTTAGACCTTATACTATTTAATCTTGAGTATTTTTTTTTAGTTATGTTTGATCATCCATCTGAGTTTTATTCTACTAGTAAAATGTATTAATGTTTTATTACTTTTTTGTGTGAACAGTGTTTTGGCAATATAAATAATTGCTAAGACATTAGTAGTCATAGTCCACGCGCTATAAATTACTGGAGTTTTATTTGAAGTTCTAGTTGATCTAGAAATATTTTAGATATCAAATGATCTCATTAATTTAATAAGTGAGATTTGTTCACTCTTGTAAGGGTAAGCTCTTCTTTTCCTTTCTCCTCTTCTTCTCGTCCTTCTTTGTGCAAATAACCAAGTACTAGTCAAGGGTTACTGTTCACAGGCTTCAAAAAGAGCCCTTCTCAACCGCTAAACCCTAACCAATCAAGTTCAAATCGTACTTAACCTTTTCCGTCACCCCTTGGTCACTAAACCCATACTAAAACCCCATAAAATAGCTACAGCCCAGTTTCAGAAATCCTACAACTTGCAACTTTTGAAAATCAAGCCCAAACTAGCCTTTTACATCTAGAAACCCTAAAACCTTTCTCCTCCCTCGTAACACTTGTAAATATACATAGTATACCCCTAGAAGCTTTCCATAATCAAAACCCACCACAATAAATATTCCCTATTGTAGGCAGAGCATTAACACAAGCTTCTGAGTTTTCCTGCATAAATAATCCATGTCATTACTCTCTGAAAAATCTAACCCATGCCCACTCAAATATTTGTGATGCTTCTTGTCCCCAACAAAGAAAAAAAAAGATCAACAAGCATCAATTTGTGATGCTTCAGAGAAGTCCCCTCACACCTATAGACATGCTACATGCTATAGTCCATGTTCTCATTACTCACCCCACGAGCTGCTATCATGGGTGTTGCTAACCAGCATCAATTTGACAGCTGCTAGTCTGCACCATATAACAGTATGGGCCTGTTTGGTGCAGCTTTTCTCAAGCTAGAAATTGATAATTTGAAATCAGAAGCTAAAATCGGCTTTTTTTCCTAGCTTCCAGATAATCAGTTTTTTCAGACTTAATTAAGCTATTTTTGTCTCATATGCAAAAGTTGCACCAAACACTTTTGACTCAAATTCTCAAAACACAAAATACCAAAAGAAGCACAATAAGCTGCCTCAAATAAGGCCTATAGAGAACAGAGTATATCTAGAAACATATGACAAAATTTAGCACAGTGAAAGAAAACAATGCAGAACCGATTCAGTTAATTAGAACATAGGATGTGTGTTACACGGTCTTGGGTAGAACTTAACCCCAAAAGCTAGCTATTGAGGTGAGGTGCCCTCACGCTTATATATGCTTAACATTACTTCAGTACTAAGGCGATGTGGGACTTCACTTCACACCCTCCCTTATGCCTAGCGTGCTCACTCGGCTGCACCAGCGGCATGCAAACCAAGGACATGCACCCTACCCATTCCCGAGTACTCTGGCTCTGATACCATGTTACACAGTATTGGGTAGAACTCAACCCCAAAAGCGAGCTACTGAGGTGAGCGTGCCCTCATGCTTATATGCTTAACATTACTTTACTCAGGAGATGTGAGAATTCGCTTCACAATGTGCTTATTGTGAGGTAAACAACGTAAAGATTAAGTATAAGCCTTTAACCTAGTCAATAATGAGATAAAGACAAATAAAATACATAAGAAACATTCAAAGACATAAGAAAGAAAAAATAAATAACGACATCAAGGAGCAGCAACTAATTACAATGAATTATATTCTACTCACATTTCTAGATTGATTTCTTGAAACAGATTGATGTAAAACCGGAAGCCATCAGGGCTTACATCTCTGCATAGCAGACCTGCAAAAGTAAATGGTAGATATTATGTTCAGTATGCTAGCAATTTCCCCAAAAGAAGAGTGCCAAGAACTGACCTTTGCTCTCAGCTGTAAGAAGATGCTCCTTAGCCATAGCTGGAGCAATCCCCAATGTAATTGCAGCATCACTAGCACTGATGCCAGTTCGTAGAGCATCAGGCTTGAGTACAAGGACTTTGATTCTAGAGAAAACCTACAATTAACAGAGCAACTTGATTACTGTGGTGCAATCTTAAGCAGTTCCTGATTTCAAGTTGTGAACATGCGCAGACAAACAAACGGCACCAGACATACTGATATAATATTAACACCTTAATTGCACGAAGCGGAAGTGGGATCGGGGGAAGGAACAGGAGCAAGATTGGGAGTGAGGGCACATAGATGATTCTATAGTTGAGAGTGCCTATGGGAGCAGTAAATATATTAATATATTGTAAGAAACAATTTTTTTTCCCCCCTTAGTGGTAATATAAATGTTAAAAATGAATAAATATTTGAGATCGATGTCAACTACGTTTTGGTTTGCTTGCTCCGTGTTTTTGGTTCTTCAGAGCAAGGCTGTTCTGCTGTTTTTGACTTTTGTTGTAGTCAACTCAAAACCTGGATTTTGCTAAAACGACCTAGACCTACATACCTTTTCTTCTTTGTGCTTTCTTTCTAGTTCCTGTGTCCAAAGACTATTTTTGGTAATTACAAATAAATATTATATAAATACTAAGTACTAAAATAAATTTGAATATGATGGTTGCTATAGATTTTCTCCTATTGGATAGCTTTTCCTTTGATTCTTTGGGATTCATATGTTTACGAGGTTCCATCCCAGCTCATAGCGTAGTTCTTTCATGATGGGAATGCAGTTCTTACAAGATTTAACTCTGAATCACGGAATCGTGATTCTAGAGCAGATTCATCACCCCCAGTAGAAGGTTCCTACAACTAAGATTAGCACAATCAAAATATGTTCCAATTCTACTCGTCAACATCAAAACAAAGGTTGCCAAACTAATTGTCTTAAAAGGTAAGGCTTGCCATGTAGCTGACCTCAACCCAAGATTCACGCAAGTTAATTTCATCCCACTGGCCAAGATGTAGCCACAAAGGTGCCATTTGCCTCTGCTATGATTCCATTGAAAGGCTCTACAACATTTTTGTTTTTATTATTTGGTTATTCTTAGCATGTTCTTCAAACGAAATTCATTTCTTTTAATTTAGTTTCCTTTCTTTAATATTTTAACATACTTTCCTGTTATGTAGTGGAAGAACAAAAATCTTCATAAATTTATCCCATCCATTTTCTTATCCTAAGTTAATCCAGTACACCAAATTTCATAACTCTCCTGAAAAGCATATAATATTTGGTTGTTACATCGAAGCAATTCAACAACCTGCTAAGTAGAACATGGTTAAGAAAGTTTCTGATAAACTTTAATTGGTCATTCTTTCTTAAGCTATCTTCTACATTTAGCTTCTGTGGGTATATACATGCAAATTATCTTCCAGTTTAAAATGTTTGTATATAGAATAAATCATCTTCCAACTTACAAGTATACTGTGACTAGTATATACATTTTTTTTGCTCTCTTTATCTTTCTTTTTCTCAGTTCTTCTTTCTCATATTCTCATTCAAATTTCATACGTTTTCTTTGTTCTTAAAACTTTTTATTTTTAATGAGAAAAAGAGAAAAACAAAACAAATCTGTTTGGAGATCCGGATGTGCAAAACAAATCACTGTGTGTTTCAATGAGTTTTGGTGCGCTTCACTGAAATTTTGGTTATCCAGTAATGGTTAGTATTGATTTCCTAAGAAATAGAAACATTTTAGCCATATCGATGGGAAAAAAAAAATTATGTTCCTTGATGCTGGGATGTGCATGCACTACCTACGATTTAACTTCTGCTATGGGCATCTTTGCAAGATGTGATGAGCTCTCTTTCACAGAGATGCATTTTCTTTTATGAGGAAGTGTTTAAATTCACCAAAGGTGTCATTTAATAGTGGTAAGAAGAAGAATAACAGAAACAATTAAAGAAAAACTAATGAGTGAGGAGAAGGAATAGAATAAAGGAATTGGTTACAGGCAGGTGGGTATATGGAGAGTGTTGCCACAGTTTGTTTGAAAGAAAAGGGGACAGAAAGGAAAAGAGAATCTCCAAACCTAACATTTTTTCTGTCCAAATGGAATGTGAAGGAGGAAAGCAAGAAACCTTTTCTTTTACAATTTTGCCATTCAAACAACCCGTTGTACGGGTATGGTATAAAATAGATTAACACCCTTTCATTTCTGCATGTCCTTATTCCTGCAGAACCAAAAAGACAGGGAAAGGAAGTTTCAACTTTTACATCTTTTATTCATCCTTCTTTTCACCCCTTTTTACCTCAATATGCCGTCATCCCCAACATCGGACCACAAACACTGCCAATACTGCAGCCATTGTCATTGCCTTTGTTGCCACTACCATTGATCTTCATCAGCAAAAACAATAAACCAAATGGTGCATGGCATAGTAATTGTAGAGAGAGAGAGAATAAGAGAGAAATAAATTTTCCAGAGAGAGGAGTACATATGGTTGAGAACTTGAGAACAGCGATTACCATAGGTGAGGAAGATGGTGGCTGGCCGGTGGTGGGTCAGATGCAAGTGATTGGCTTCAGTGGTGGTGCTAGAAGTGGTAGAGGCTCACGGTGGTGGTAGAGGGTGGCAGTAATTGGTGGTAGGTTGGAGAAGATGGAGGCCACTGAGTTTTGCACAGTGATGATTAAAGATGGAGAAAAAGAAGAAAAAGAACAAAGGAGAACAATGTTGACATGTGATGGTGAGAACAGGGCCTCTGTAATAACTTATTTGCACACAAATATATATGGGTTAATTACACTTGGCTCCCTTGAGGTTTGGAAAAAATATAGTCAACCCCAGAAGTTTGGCATAATTACATTTGGCTCTCTTAAGATTTTAATTCACATAACACTTAACCCCCTTTTCATCAATAATTCACTAGTCATATGGATGAAAAATGATGGTTTCATCTCTTACATTGAAAATGTATATTTTACCTCATTTATCATTGTGTCTTCATACCATCTGCATTAGTTTCTGTCCCTTTAGCCTAACTAAAAGGGATGTTACTGTAATTATATTACAACTATGGAGCAAACTATAATTTCTTCAAACTTCAAGAGAAGTCAGTGTAATTTAACCAATATGTGTGTGTGTGTGTGTGTTGAAATACACAAATACTTCTATTAGAATTCAAAAAACCAATTACTATAAGATATAACTGAATTTGAAGCAATGCAGCAAAAGGTAGCATTGTTCCAAATTGAGTAACTTTAAGCACATGTATATACACACATATGGTGAAGAGGCTTGGGTATATAATATGTAAAGTAGGTTAAAAGCTGGCTTTTTTTGCAAAAAAATGTACAAAAAAATAGAGATTTGATATGACTCAAAAAAAGCCAATAAGCTGGCTTTAACCTAGTTCCCAAAATAGGTTAGTGGTGGAAGACATAGATGGTGACTCTAGATTTTTTTGGGGTGACAAGGTCTAGCTGATTATTGGCTCGAGTTGTTGGGTATGACCCACAACTTGGAGAAATGAGAAAAAAGAATGACGTTAATTTGGACATTTGACAAAACAATGTCACACTGCACTGCTTTTATAATTTACTCCAGACCACTTGGGGGTTTATGTGTATATTTCTGGATCATAGAGGTTATGTGTTTTAGGCCAAACCACAATGAGGTAAAGTGTAATTAACCCTCTATAAAAATAGGAGTACTTTTTAACTAATTATTTGTATGATCATACTTTCTACTTTTTTTCTTTACAAACTTACCACACATTTCAAGGACAAGCAAATAGTAAAATTAAACAATCAACCACAAATTTGGGTCATGATCCACCACTTCCACCAAAACAGAAAACAGGAGATATACCATGAACAAAAGAGAATAACCATCATTATCAGAAGAAAAGTTTGAACAGATTAGAGGTAAAAGAGATTACCTCCTCATCACTGTGGGACTTGTTCTGGATGACCATTACACCACTATCAAATTTCCGAAGCATTACTGGACTGTTCAATATAATCAAGTATAGTAACTAACTATAAACATCCAAGCTTTAGGTCTGAGTTTATGATTAACAAAAATGCATCAGACAAGAGTAATTGATACAAATTAGATTCAATATTTTGCATCATAATTCCAATTTTACTTTACAGAACAATGCTATATGAATAAGTTGAAGATATATGCAAAACTTACACATCAAACTTCCCCCAAAGAGAACATGCTAGCAGCAAATCCTCGGGTGAGATCAATTCTATGTAAAAGGAAGATAAATTTGGTCAGCACCTTTAATAGATATATAGCAAGAAATGAAAGGACTTTCAAAATAAATAAATAAATAACCATTGAGAAATAATAGAACTATATCACAGACCTGTACCACGTGCACGATTGAAGAGACAATAGATATCTATTAAATTGATCATTCCTCCAGCTCTCTCTAGTGGGATTTTGACAAAATCTGCCAACTAAGGTTCAAGCAAAATAAGTTTCAAAATGCAAAAAAAATAAAAAAAAATAAAAAAAGGAGTTCAAGGACAACCTATTTCCATGTGAAGTAATAAATTCATAATAACTTGAGCATTTGCCATTCAAACTTAAACTCTATACAACACAAATACATACTTATCTACTCATCAACTTCCCTTTCTCTCCTTAGAGCCATAAACATGATATAAGCCCTTAGGCAACTGATACAGAATACAGTGGGGGAAGAGAAGAGAAAAATGAGAGAGAAGAAAAACACAAGGGCCACAACCCAAATCACTCAAGGCCACAACCTTAAACTCTCAATTGTACAAATCTAACTCTAAATAACACAAAGCAAAAACCTAATATTTATAGACTAAGACTCCTAATTAAAATAGGAAACTAAATCCTAATAAGAAAAGGAAAATTAGAATCTCTAATAAAAGAGGAAACCAAATATTAATAAAACTTCTAATTAAACTATAATTTAAAATAAATAAATAAAATTCTAAAGACCTAAAATTAGAGATTTGTAAATGAAAAATAAAATCTCCACGCCAAAATTGGTGCATACATTCCACACTACTTTCCCTAACTGGAAAAGGAAAGTGGATCAAGTACTTTGAACATGCTAGCTGTTTTTTCAGTTCCAAATCTAACTAATCTTTGTTGTCAAGCTGTTGACAAGGTCCACCAATATGGATTAAACACGCGAAGAAAATCTTCAACAGTAATAAAATTAATCCTTACAAACTTAATTAAATAATCAATTAGTGCTCTGCGTGGGATTTTCTTCCCCTTCAGACTTCTTGGGATCCAACACATTTCAAATTTACACCCAAAATAATCACTTTCCTTATACTTTACAGGCGCTTGATAAAACACTATTGTTAGATCTTCACAATATTTATGTAGATTACATGGATCACCTCTTAAAACATGGGCTTACAATTTGTCCAAAGTTGCTTATATCTTTACTCATTGTTTCTATCATTTGTTCTTGTGTCATCTGCAACTGCAATTGTTGCCGTGATTTTTTTAACACCGGTTGATATTGATATAAAGCATCAAACTTCGAATTTAATTTGGAATTGGTTACCATGGTTAAGGAGAAAAGGATTATTTTGGACTAAAATTAAGGAAGAAGGCTGAGTGACAAAGGGGAAGAGGGAGAAATAGAGCACCAAAAACATAAAAAAGTAAGGGAAGAGAAGAGAAGAAAACACAAGGGCCACAAACTCTCAATTTTATTTTATTAATCAAGTTTTGAATAACACAAGGCAAATGAATCTAATATTTATAGGCTCAGAACCCTAATTAAAATAGGGAACTAAATCCTAATAGGAGGAAAAAAAAAAAAAAAAGAAGCTAGAATCCCAAATAAAATAGGAAACCAATATTTATAAAACTTCTAATTAAACTATAACAAAAAAAGAAAATAAATAAAATACTAAATACCTAAAATTATTAAATTGTAAACAAAATTTTCATGTCAAAATTGGTGTGCACACGTTCCACATCAGCAACCTACCATGAAAAACAAACTAATCCTTGTACAAATCAACCTAATTGTATAAGCACATTTGAGAACTGCACATAACACGTGAAAACAAAAAGATCATTGTCTTCGACTTAGACAAAAGCACTCCACTAGAATCAAGCAAATCACATCACAACTGCTTCTCTAAAGCTTAAGCTAATAGAGTGGCACAAATACATTTCAACAGACTTGGAAGAAAAAGACAAAGCTTCTACGTACCTAAAATTATTAAGTTGTAAACAAAATCTTCATGTCAAAATTGGTGTGCACACGTTCCACATCAGCAACCTACCATAAAAAACAAACTAATCCTTGTACAAATTAACCTAATTGTATAAGCACATTTGAGAACTGCACATAACACGTGAAAACAAAAAGATCATTGTCTTCGACTTAGACAAAAGCACTCCACTAGAATCAAGCAAATCACATCACAACTGCCTCTCTAAAGCTTAAGCTAATAGAATGGCACAAATACATTTCAACAGACTCGGAAGAAAAAGACAAAGCTTCAACGAAAATGTTATTAAACAAGCAAAACAACTTTTTCGCATTTTTTAGCTATGTATTAGCTTCATAAAACCTAAATTATAAGGGAAAACCTGCTCTAAGAATCATTTTAACCAATATAATATCTATGATGCTGCATCTCCTTCTTTGTTAGGTTCTCCAGGATACTATTGGATCATCTCTACATTTCGTACATCAGTGGCATTGATGTTTGGGTTACCCCTCCTTTGGCATTTTAGAATAACTATTTCCTTAGTGAAGGATTGTCGTATAAACTATATTATATAGACTTCTCTAATTTTGTGAAGTACCTGTATCAAACACTCGACAAAAAGGTATGGGATATGTGTGCATTCTTAGTTCGACATGCACTCTTTTAAGTGTACCTAAGTAGTCAGGTTTCTATATAACTATGCATAAGATTCCTATTCATAAAATACTCTATATTGGTTTGTAAACACCATTTTACCGAGAAATGGTAAAAGAAGTTTAAAAAGAAAACTACCCAAGTCCTAGTGTCGCTGAATCTGCAGATTATATGAATCCAATACCTAGACACATACCTGCACCTAACCCCATCCAAGTCCATGTAAGCATAGCGTAGGAATATTTTTGTATGTGACATTTGTGAACTTGCTCGAAATAAAATTACTTTTCTATTTCTTTTTCTGATGATCGTTGGTTTGTCACATATATATATTGATATTTTTTTGTTACTTGGGTTTATTTACTTCATGTTAAGAAATATGTTTTCCTTTGCTTTAAAATCTTTCATAAGATGGTGACAAATCAATTTGATGCAAAAATCAAAATCCTTCAGAGTGGCAATAGGACTGAATATATATTGACAGGGATTTTTTGAAGATATCTTGATGAGAATTATATTCTCAATCAAACCAATTGTGCAGGCACTCTCAAACTGAATGGAGTAGCTAAGCGCAAAATCTGTCATCTTCTTGAGGAGATTGATATTCTCTATCAAGCCAATTGTTTACCATGATTGTTCCTAAATCTGTTTGGGGTGATGTCCCTTACAGTTGCCTATCTTATTAATCGCATGCCCTCTAGTGTTCTTTAGTTTAAAATTCATTTAGAACTTCTTCCTTTGCCAACTTCCATTTCTTTTCTTCCTCCCAAGATCGTTGGGTTCGTTTGTTTTGTCCATATTAAAAAACACACTCATGGAAAACTTTTTCTTAAGGCTTTGAGATGTGTCTTTATTAGTTATTCTACTACTCAGATATAAATGTTATGATCCTCTATCTCGTAAGTATGAATGAATGCCACCTTTCGTGAATCTGAGTCCTTCAACTTCTTTCATCCCAAACATCACTTCACAAGGAGAGTATTGATGCCAATTTCCACATCAAAGAAAACCCTAGATGTCCCAAAAATTATCTTACAGGTCAGGAAGATCACATGGCCGTGTGCCCATCCAATAATATATTGTTATTCCTCCACTATTTACTTTTTTTTAGGTCCATGTAATTGTTAGGCCCTCTGTTATTAGTTGGACACACTGTCAATGTGGAATTCATGGGAGACGGAATAATTACACCTAGATGTCCAATCTTAAAATCCTAAACCAATAAATTTCCCCAGCAGATCTTCAACCGATAAATGGGTGCCACTTGAAGAGAGCAAGGAAATCTTGGAGAGTGGCTACTTCATGCTTCAAGTAGTGTGTGAAGGGAGAGGAATAGGTGCACTTTTGAGGACGTACAAATGGGGTTACATAAGTTGAAAATGGTTTCATAAATCATACCTTTCACATTTGGCTTAAAAGGAAGTTGTTTGAATCTTTATTTTCTTTCATAGATTTTATAGGTGAACTTCATTTTGTTAAGGGTTTTGGGTATTGCTTTTGGAAAAATGCTTCATCCCCAAACAAGATAGCCCAAATCTTCCTTGAATGACGAGGCCAAGCGACGTGAAATTCTACCCACAAACTGATAGCTCTCTGCCCAAACTCTCTCTCTCTCTCTCTCTCTCCCCCCGCAAACACTCCTCTCTCTATCTCCTCTCGCCCTCATCTCTCTCTCCTCTAGCAACGACGACACCACCAACCACCATCTATGAAGCACGGATACTCCAAAAAAAGTGGTGTACGAGTATCAGACAAATATTGGATACGGATAAGCATCTGATGCGATAAGTATTGGATTTGGATACAGCAAATAAGCATCCAATTTTATTTATTTATTTATTTATTTTCAAATTTCGGATACAGCAGGGATACACAAAGGATAGTTGAGAGGAAAACGGCAGGATACGTGATGATACGTGAGGGATATGCGAGTGATACACCAAATAAGTATCCAATTTTTTTCTAATTTTTTATTTTTTTACTTTTTATATTTTAATACGCCAAATAAGTATATAATTTTTTTTCCCAATTTTTTTCTCATTTTATATTTATATTTTTTCAATGGTCAATACTTTTTACTCTCGTTCTTCCCCCCCCCCCCCTTTTTTTTATGTTTCTCACTCTTTTTTTTTTTTCCCGTACACTATTTTAGTGTAAGTATTTCTTTACCAATTTTTTAATTTTAGGAACTTTAATGTTAGTATTTCTTTATTTAATAGGAATTCCTCTATTTATTAATTTGCTTTAGGTTTTATTTTCATGCATATTACATTATTAAAATTATAAAACATATTTTTTTTTTACGAACGTATTTCCGCCGTACCCGTATACTACTTTTTCTTATTTTGGCTTATCGCCGTATCCCATATCATATCTGCATCCGTGCTTCCTAGACCACCATGATGACAAGATCTGACCACCTCTCTCTCTCTCTCTCTCTCTCTCTCTCCTCTCATGACGACAACACCGCTGACCACCACGATGATGAGTTTCGACCACCGACCATAATGACGAAGAGATCCGTAGAACAATGACGAACCTCTTGTAGCAACAACAACAACGACTCAGAAGAGAGAGTCACTGTGAGAAAAGAGTCGCTGGAGAGAACAAGAGAGTTGTAGGGGAGGGAGAGTCGTCAGAGAGGAAGAGAGATTGCCCGAGAGAGAGAGACAGACAGACAGAGCGAGCTGGAACGTTGTTCTTTACTTTTGCATGTGAAAAGTGATTGTGGGTTTTTCCTTCGCTTTGCTGTGTGTTTCACACACTTTTTTTGCAACTAAAATATAAACATTGCTTTTTGACATTATCAAAATACACATAAGTTAGGGTGGGTTTCAGGCTCTCCTATTTGGGGGATGTGCAGGACTTGTTTTGTATACACCTAGTGTATAAAGGTTGCAGGCTTTTTGGCGCCGTTAGTAGATTCACTTTTACCTATCCCCAAGCAACAATATCCAACAAGAACCCTCTAGCATATGCTTTTTTGTTTTATTTTACCTCAAAACCAATTTGCATGCCAAGTTGTCGTGTTGCCCATCAAATGAAAGTGGAAGCTAGTGAAGTCTCACATCAATTAGTATAAAGCAGCACCCATAATTTAGTTTAATGCAACAATTCTTAAGCAGCATCCAGAAACAAATAGTTGAGTTGATAGCTTAAAAATTTAAGACTTCCAAACACTTGAGGTGTTATTAATGATAGGCAAGATTTCTACATGAACTTCACATGAAAATGCTGAAGTTGGTAGTAAGAACATAATTTAAAACATTAAAAATCTATCTCAATTCTTCAATTGCATTTGATATGTCAACCTCCAGGTCAAGTCCTTTGCACAATTAAGTTGTTATTTCTGGAAAAAGCCTTTGTAAAATTCTGAAAAAGCCTTCGTAAATATGCAACTTTTGTCTAATGATACACGAATACTAAATTTGATAAGTTAAAATAATAGAACTTCCAAACACAAGAAATATCTGAATGAACTTTGCATTTGCCAAAAGTGTTGACATGAAAATATTGAAGTTGGCAGTGACAAACTTACTTCAAAACATTACAAATCCAAAACATTATGGCTTGTTTGGTGTTTTTCTTTGTTTTCATTCACTTTCCATGTTTTCGGAAACAAAAAAAAAATGGAAATTTTGAACACACCCATTGTTTTCGTATCAGTTTTGTTTTTGTGTAAAAATAGTTTTCAACAATTTGAAAACAACTTTTTGGTGTTTCCTTAAAAGTAGGTTGTTTTCAGAAAAGTTTCACAAAAATAGTCTTCAAAAAGCCAATTAAGAATTTTGTTTTCCAGAAAATAGAAAACAAAAACAGAACCAAGCAATCTGCACAACACACAAAAATAAGAAAGAGTACCTGACGGGACAACTGTTGGTGATATAAAGCACCAGCTGACTCTTTTGTAACTGGAGATGCAATACCAACACTCAATAACCAATCTTGCATCTCTTCTTTGGAACCCATCTCCTCATCATTTGCTGAACTGGCTTGATTATTTGTGCCTGATAAAAGTTTTTGCCTCATTTTCTCTGCTAGCAATACCATCTCTTTGGCCTTACTCTGTAAAACCCATCAGCATTTATAACTTCCAAAGATAATCAATCAAGAAAATAACAGAAATCCATAACTGAAGCAACAACCCAATCTTTGCAATTTCATTCACTATGAAGCATAGAAAACCACAATAGTACGTCACATTCTGAATAATCCACTATGCTACAAAAGCTAATCATGCCTTCAATCTTCTCTCTCTGTCTCTATTTTCTTTTTATTATGTGGGGGGAGAGGAAGAGGAGAATAGGAGGGGGTTGCCTAGATTATAAATGTGGACAAGAAGGTTGCAAGCATTATTTGTATGTCCTATGACCATGAGATTGAACAAACCAGGGTCCAAAGACATTGTGATAAGTAATCAACTATAACTGCTTTAAAAATCCGTTCCACCTCAAGCACTATCCTAAGTTATTAAAGGGTTTCTTTGAAAATTTGATATAACTCAGAAAATTAATCTGGCCGGTGACTTAGGAACTAACACCTTCAAAATACCAAGAACATATTATATTTATCAATCAAAAAAATGAAGAAAGAAAACTGAATTAGAAACTTCAAAGTTTACTATTGCAAGTCCATTAAAAAATGAAACAGGAACAAGCCAACAACTTAACCTTAATTTCCCTACCCCTTTAGCGTTGATCCTACTATTCAAACTAAACTAAACTGCCACCAAAGAAGAAGAAGAAGAAGAAAAGAAGAAGAAAGCACTATCTCTTTTAATGAATAGATACACAACCAATTTACAAAAGCATGAAAAGCAGCCAGTGTTGGCCAACAAAGCACCAAAATTACCCCTACATTCCCTGAAACACTGGAAAAGAGCACCTTCATGTTCCCAAAAGAATTCTTAGGAAACATCTTTTCTCAACTCAACAAGTCTGTCCCAATTACTTAGGGTCAGCTAAAACAACATCTATTGCCCTCTTTTGACTGTATCCTAACAGGTGAACGTGACATTTCAGAACCAGCATATATGATGAAAAAATATTTATTTAGCAACAGCAGAGCATTTCAACACCAACAAATGCCACAAAATCTCATCCTTGTGAAATTAAGAAAAGTAGGAACAATGGGTTGGTTTTCCAACCAAAAGATTAATATGTAGAGTGACTGGTAGGAAAATTGGATGCTATGTGCAATGTCCAAGAAGGTTCAGAAAGACTGCTTGGAAGTTGAACTCTCTATACAAACTCTAAGGTTCTCACACCCAAACTAAGATGCTGGTCATGAGGCACATCATCTTTGAAAATGATATCCCAATACATGCATTATTTCTTTTTTCCATATCTTTTGTTGCATGGAACACTTTAGTTTCATGAGAGAATCCAAATATTGCTTGTGGAGCCTAATGGTGACACAAAGTATCTTCAACATAGCTAAATAATTTGACTACCTATCAGTAAGTAACATAATATGCTGTAGCCTATATTTGAAACTTGTTCATGTTGAGAGAATCTGAGAAATTTGTCCATGAAAATACCACTTAGACAAACAACAATTTTTATTTTATTTTTTTTGAAGTGGGGGGGGGGCCTTTTTATCAAGTGTTGTGTTGTGAAAAAGATTGGAAGAGGAATGAGATCCTAGACAAATCATGATATGGTGAATACCTATTTTAACTTACATCGTGGAGGCTAGTGGTGCATATTTAAACTATGATACTGTATTTCATTGGACTGACAGACCAACTCAGGATGGATCAACTTTATAATAAGAGTTTTTTCCTTTCCATTCACTCAGATCTCTTCCGTTACATCAATTTTGTCCAGAAATCCACAAATTGGGCTTCACAAGGGGAACTGATACCCTTAGCCCCAATGAAGTCTCTTTGTGAGACAAGTGTGGTGTGCGTTACAATAGAGTATATCTTACACTACAGGGATGCGTATTCTACCTTCCACAAGCAAAGAACTTCAAGACTCCCTTGAAGTAAGCTCTTCCAAGACTAGAATTTAAGATATGAAGGCTACAATCTCCATCCATGATTGAATTCATACTCAAGAAGTGTATAAGGATGTATAAGAATTTATTATAGCCCCAGGTGCCTTCCTCTTGTCAACAAACCCCAATCAGGAGTATTGTGGTATTTATAGTCAAGCCTCCTACGGCATACAATATCGTGATTGACCATCAACCACTATGATCTACCACATCCACTTAGATGGTTGACCATATTGTCGAAAGGCCTTTTTAGGCTTTCAGGACTTCCACCATAGCCAATCACATCCATTAGGATGATCGACCATATTGTGGGTCTTGATAGATTGCTCTCTGGACCATCCTTCGCAGCATGGGTGACCAAGCAAACTAATGACGGCCTTTTTGTAACCCTATCTGTCCAAATTTGGTCTCCAACTTGTTCAAATTCTTCTTCATATCAATTAAGCTTTTCCATAGCACTCCTTTGATGACCGTGGAGATCTCCCATAGCATGTCAAGCTTCCAAGATGACGCAGTCAATCAAATGTGCTCTTCTCAAGGTAGTGGTTTGGGTTTTATCTAGTGGTGTTCAAAAATCCGAATCACCAAGCGTACTCAATCTGAACCGACCAAATGATCTCACTACAAATGGTTTTGCAATTTTAAATTCATGGAATTTGTTCGAGTTTCAGTCAGACATTGGATTTGATAGAGGACAATCCGTTCAACCGAACCCATCCAAATTATTTATATACAACATGGAAAGCCACATAAATTAAACTTTTATCTTCCCAAGGTAGAGGCTTGTACACTTCCCGTCAATGTAATCATTTCATCTCTGCTTATCTTTCCAATACAAAACATTCTTCTCTTCCCAAGACAGATGTATTTGAACCATTTTCTTAATTTCTCAAATCTACCAAAACACTTGTGGCGAAGTACAGCGATCGATCAACATGACAATGACTGATGAAATCTCACACAAAAAGCTTTATTTTTCTCTCTCCTAAACCATTGTCCAACCCTATAACTCGTGTATGGCGGTAGTGTACAGTGGCAATGGTGGTGATGCTATGTCATAGTGGCAAAGGTTTGTTGTGGCAATTGGGTATTTGCAGTGGTGGTGTGAATCTCTTCTTTATATTTTCATTTTTTATCCTCCACTCTATATCTGAATTTGGTGTGTATGAGTTGTGTTTGAATTGAATCACTATATATAGTAATTGTATATTTGATTTTGAAATTTGTTTACATGCTAAGAGAAGCTGAAAGATAGAAGATTGGTGTGTGAATCACCCATTTGAACCGACCACCAAATCGAATGGTATGGCTCGGTCAATTTCGAACATTGCGGCAGTCGACAGCGGGAAATCAATATTCCAACCTGACATATTAGGTTCGGTTGACAGGCTAGTGGCGAACCTGGCCCGGACCAACCCATGAACACCCCTAGTTCTACCTAAGGTTGCTCATACAAGTCCTGAAACTGCCAATCTAATGCTAGTACTAACACTAGCAATAAGTGGTGAATTTGTACTCAACTCATGTACCTCATACAGCCACAATTTCATGTGCTGCAAATAAAAGGTAGAAACAAAAGGAAAGAAAAGACTCATGCTCATGTTTCATCAATTTATCTCATTTTGTACTCTTTTTTCAATTGTAGAGTGTTCCATTTAATGACACATAATAAGGACCTATTTTGTTAGTTAAGACAAAATTCAGGGAGGTTGGAACTATTTTTGTCTGCAGAGGTTGCTAAAATGATAACAAACAAAACGAAAGTAATCAAAAATTTTAGTTTGCACAGACAGATGAAACGCAACATAGTGAAGCCAAATATATGTACAAGGCTCAATTAAACATTGTATATGCTCAAGTCCCAAAACAATGTGATATCTTAGATACAAAACTTCAATTCATTCTCTTTATCTACATTTTTTATAGCAACCAACCATAGAGTCATGAAAGTGAATGCATTGGTGCACATACCATGAGAGCATTCAAGTCCTGAAAAGCATCTTGCAAACTCTTATCAGTACTCTCCCACATTTCCTGTTCCTTCCTCAGTATCCCCGAAACCCCAACCACCGGCATTCTCAGTCCCCCTCCGGCACTCGACCCACCAACATCGCCCGGACCGAATTTCCCCGATTCGGACCCACTCGGACCAGAGCTCTCCCATGCTCTGCCCCTCCAAGCCTCCCAAAACTTCGCCAAAAACGAATCCGGGTCGGACTTCCCCCTCAAGACGAGGGTGATCACAGTCAACCTCGAGCCTTTATCGTCAACTCTTCCTTGGGCGTTGGAAGAGACCTGGAATCGAACCCTGGGGCTGGCGAACATGGACTTGATCGATTTTTTGGTGGAGAAGATGTGGGAAATGGCGGAGAGAGGGATGGCGGAGGCAGAGGCGGAGGCGGAGGAGGAGCCGGTGGTGTCGGGGATCCAGAGGAGGCGGTGGGTGGTGAGGATGAGGAGGCCCGATTTGAAGAGAGGGAAGCTAGGGTTTTCTTCGCAGTCGAGGTCGACGGAGGAGAGGAGGGAGCACTCGACCTCGCCCGGGTGCAGAACTGGGCGGCCGCTGCTGGTGAGCTCGGCCGTCGGTAGCCATTTCCCGCCGGCCATTGAGTCAGGTCGGAGAAATTCAAAAAATGGAGAATTTTTTTAAACAACTGTCAATAATATAGAGTCATTTTTGGGGGTGATGGTGATGTAAAGAAATTTCTGGGCAGGCCGGCCAGCGGTTGACAGAAGAAAACTGGGTTGTGAGAGATTAGGAGGGAAGTAAACTAACAGCAGTAGGCCTTGTTTGGTAAATGGCTATTATAGTTGGTTGTTTTGGATAGTTTTGAATGATCTAAATAAATATATTTTTTAATTTTTTATAAAATAATATTTAGAAAAGTAAAAAAATGATATAATTTAAAGAAGATAAAAAAATACATTTTTTTAGCGCACCTGTTAATAAAAATTATGCTAGGAGTGGATGGATAGCCACCAAATAATAATTCAAACTGCACAATTTAAACAGGAACAAACTGGGTTGTGAGAGATTAGGAGGGAAGTAAACTAACAGCAGTAGGCCTTGTTTGGGAAATGGATATTATAGTTGGTTGTTTTGGATAGTTATGAATGATCTAAATAAATATATATTTTAATTTTTTATAAAATAATATGTAGAAAAGTAAAGAAATGATATGATTTAAAGAAGATAAAAAAAAAATATATTTTTTTAACGCACCTGTTAGTAAAAATTATGCTAGGAGTGGATGGATAGCCACCAAATAATAATTCAAACTACACAACTTAAACAGGAACAATTAAGTAATTGTGGTTCTGGTTCGAATGTCTCAAAAGAGCCCAGCAGTTTTGCCTAATCTTGAGGGTCCTTCGAGATAGAGGGAGATTAGGCGAATGGGCCGCTGTTCCGGAACCTATTATCAGAGGAGGATGAGAGTTCTTCGTTAGTATATAAATCGTGTATATTATTCATGTGTATCCCTAATCTAATGTTGTCGTATTCACTGTAAACAGAGAAACAACAATTTTGACATAGTTAGTGTTTTACAAAATTCTGACTTACAAATAAAATACTATTTTCTGCCTATTTTTTTACTTTTTCATTTAAAAAATAAAATGAATTAAAGGGGCTAATATATGGGGGCTCTCGTTTGTAATGATTCCTCGAAAATGTACTGCTGGTGTGAGTTCACTGTTTACCACTACAAAATCTGAACCACCTGTCTACAAGATTTGACAAAAATAAATGCAAACAATACCCCTGTAGACCGCCCGAACTTCCTTCGCGCGCCCCCCTTTCGGAGAGAGCGCGAATTAGGTTCTAGCTACAACAGTTCAGACTCCTGTCACGATTCTGAATCTAATCTCACAAAGTGCAATGTGAGATTGATAAATCACCAAAGAGTCCAATCCGGCAAATCATTTTGGAAAACTGATTTTCAATCAAATAATGCCAAAATTGGACTGTTTTGCCAGATTACAGAGTCGCCACCTGAATATTTTGTTTTGGGAAATTCAAGAAACCTTGACTCGTGCCAAAGGCCACGTGTCTGTCATCACCAAAGTTGTCTCAGCTAGGGAACTTGGGTACGAGGGAGGAAGGTCATGAAATGAGCACCCCCGCTCGCCCTATCAAAGGATCGGCCTCTACCACAATGATATGTTGTTTTATATACACATGCGCTCTTATTTCGGTTGTTTAATCTAGCATTACTATGTGATACGCACAACATATAAGTATAGACTAAATCACTCAAATTGGAACAAAACATCTCATGTTTGTTTTTTAAAATAGTTTGAATTTGCCACTCGCAAGTGGGCTAAAATGCGGATTTGCTACCCTCAAGTGGGCTTAAAACATGATTATTTTGCCACTTCGCAAAGTGGGCTTAAAACGTACATTTAATGAAATATCCCAATTCAAGCAATAAAGCCTTCATCCACAAACATTCATGCACTTAAATCACTTAAGCAAATAGCCTCATGGCAAGTATGCTATCATGGCAACACTTACACTCATGTAAAGATGCTAAAGCGAAAACACTTACAGTGTACTCCGAGCCAAAACAAGAACTAGTTAGAAATATGCATGATCCTAACTATACAAGATGCCTAATGCAACGCATGCAATAATGCAACTAAATAGGCTCGACTATCCAAGATGGCATATGAATGCCTAATTTGATACATGTATTCAAAGAGGTATTGAAATACGATGCAGTTCGAATGATGCGCCAAGCCCGGTGCATGCAGTACAAATGAATGATGCAAATATGCAAGCATAAGGTATGCTAATTGAAATATGCCCTAATCTAACCATCGAAAGCGGTTAAATAAAAGGGAGAAAGAAGTGCGTTGGAAGACATGCACACACACACGCACGCTTATTACAACATTGTGCCCTCACGAAGAAGGGTCCGAATAAATAAGCTAACTAGCTACGCTAATTAAGCTAATTATTACAAAACAACTAATTAACTATGCTAAGCTAATTAATTATTACAAACCAAATTGAAATAAATTAACGAACTACTCTAAGCTAGCTAAAATATTATAAAACGAATTGATTGACTAGTTACACAAACTAATCATAAGCAGTGAAATGGCCTCGCAAGCGAGCGAGACATGCATGCTTGGTTGGCGTCTGCTCGGAAATCCATTGCTTTGCCATCAATTGCCTCTGTTTGCACTCGCCTTGACCTCCAAATATTGAACCAACATCCACACTATAACAACCCTCATTTTTGTCTTAGTCATGTTCATAAGCATTTACATGATCTTGCCTTGTTAAGCTTGCTTTTGTAGATTTGACTTGTTTTGCCTAAGTAACGGTCGCTGTCTTGTTTTGTGCTTATGTGTTTTGCTAAGTGTTGCTTGCATGCTTTATTCCTTGCTGTTTCAAGCCTAGTAACACCTTTGAACCTCTTACACCTAGGCCGTTGAACGCCAACACCTAGGACCATCTTGGAACCACCTTGGCTAACCTCCACCATCACCTAGGCATATTGGCCGAGATGTTATCATCTAGGCCGAGGTGTGCATCACCTAGGCCGAGATGTGTATCATTTAGGCCGAGATGTTATCATCTAGGCGTCCTAGATCCTTGAACCTGACAACCTTTTATTCTGGGACTGGTATGACCTAGGCCGATGAGTGGCACATCTAGGCCAAGGTGTGGCACACCTAGGTCAAGTGTTATCCTCCCTAGCTGAGATCAAGAAGACCTTACTTGCCGAAGCCTATGTCTTGATCCGAGATCATTGCCTTGTCAGAGTGCCTATGCCACCTCACTTGTTATACACCCTTTGTCATGCTCTTGTCTTTCTATTCTGGCACATTTTTTAGGAGATCTAATCCGGTAGTGCCACGTGTCCCAGCAGAGGGTTAAGTCAGGTACTAGCTGAGAAACCTATATCATTTTGTCATATCTTTGCCCTAGAAGAGAGAGAAGCTCTAGGAAGAGGAAGAAAGGGTTCTTAGAGAGAAAACTAGATTTCCAAGCTTAATCCTTAGAGTTTGAATCGTTAGATTCGTGTTTTAAGGTTAGATTCTTGATCTACTCTTGTTGTTCTTTACATTAATCCGATCACATTGCGTGATCTACCATGATTCATGAGCCATGCATTGCTTTAAAGTTTTATTTTAGAAAGAGAAAATGATGTTCTTGTGTTCTTGAAGAAAAACCATGTTTTGATCCAAAAGTTTGTATCAAGATCCATGTTTTTGTGTTTGTTTTCATGAAATCTTCAAGTATGGGTACCCAGGTCCATGTTTTTGAACTCATATTATAAAATCTCTGATTTTGGAATAAGAAGTTATGATTTTAGCATTCATGTTTTTCATGTTCTTCAAGGGGGAAACCTATAGATTTCTAGACTTTATTTGCTTAAGTGTGGTCACTGAGAACCACTATTGCCTAGATCTCACACCTAGGCCGATCACCACACACCTTGGCCGACCATGGTACCCCCTTGCTGGCACCTTGTAACATCTCGGCACCTAGGCCTAGGAGACCACACCTCGGCCAAGAAGTATGGGACCTCAGCTAAGACCCCCTAAGTTCACCCAGCTAGGCCATTTTTTTGCCTAGATCATCTCTGTGCATCCATTCCAAGACCTGGTTGGTACCCAGCATGTTTTCCCTAGAAGAAAAAAAGAGTATTTTGACTCCCAGCACATGTTTTATTTTGTCTTGACTTGGTTTTGGAAAGAAATGCCGTGATCATTTTCATTCATATAAAGCTTGTTTTGAGAGTGCATTTCATACCCATCTTTGAGCATCTCTTCTTGTCTTCTTGAAGCGCATTCAATAGGTTTTATTATGTACTTGTAGGCCTTGGACCCTTGCCTTAATCTCCACACCCGAAGAGCTATATAAGTGGTATTTTTAATAAAGCTATGTTATAATGTTTTGATAAAAGCTTTGCTTTGCTTTGTTTTGGAAAAGTATTTGATCAAGCATGAATGATTATCCTCTAATTTTGTATCAAGTATTATCTTTGTTTTGATGACATTCTTGGAAAGTCCTTAGTGCTAGGGGACTATAATACAACTAGTACCCTTGTTTGAGATATCTCCCTTGCTACCGACGGTCTTGTACGGGTGGATTTGTCTGATCAATTCCGGGTCGATTATTCCTTTGTTTTGTCAGAAATGTCATCCCTTGTATTATGTTGATGCTAGTCAGCATCCCTTGAAGCTTTGAAAGACTTTGATAGATGAACTTGGTTCATCCCTTGATTTTGTACAAGTTATGATATGTATTGTTTTGATAAAAATCTTGGATATCATTCATTTAAACATTTATTAATTATATCATTCACTGAGTATCCAAGCTCACCCTCTCCTTTATATATATGTAGGTGATGAGCAGGAAGGCGATGTCGTCTAAGCTTTATTTGGAAGATGTTTTGATTCATGTTTTGCTAGCATCTTGAAGATTATGCTTCTTAGTTTGTAATTCATTCCTTTTGTATATGTCAGCTTGAGAAGCCTTTTGATCAAGATGTAACATGTACTTTATTTTATTTGTATCCAAGTTGTAAACCATGTTAAAATGTATGTCATTTCATTTAATCTATGCACAGCTCTTATGGACTAATTATATTTAAATTTATTGCTTCCACACATGTAAGCCCTATATGTATACTATGATTGTGTGAATCTTTGTAAGTTGGCCTTTGGTAATCTTGAATTATTGGCCATCACGGCACCATTCTACTAGGGGCGGAATGGGGTCGTGACAATTTTGCAAGAGCATTTCATCGTAGGG